CAATGTCATAAAACAACACGTGTACTACTGTTTCATGAGAAACTATTTGTTCTGTGAGCCTTCACCTGAAGTACAATAACAACAACAACAACAAATCCCCCGAAGTCTTCTTAAAACCTAACAATAGTTCGCTTAACAAAGAATGTCTGCCTTGAGCACTGTGCTCTTTTAAGGTCTATGTATATGGGATGAAATTGACAACAACAACTAAAAAAATTAGACAGGAAGCTTAGGGGGCAGTGAGTTTATGCTAATAGGGGAGAAATAACTCGGAAAAGGAGAGTGAGAATGGTTGCATAATGGGAAGAATGTAATCAATGTCACTGAATTGTACATGTAAAAACTGTTACATTGGTGTATGTTCTGCTGTGTATATTCTCAACAACAAAAATAAAATAAGTTATAAAAAAAAAAAAAAGGAAGGAAGCAACACTCAGGAGAGCAAAGCTAAGCCCTGGAGAGAAGTCAGATATTAATCACATTGTTTAAGACCTGAATCCAGCCATCCATAAAGTCCAATCTACTCTTGTATTTTTCCCCTTACTGGAGCCATTGCATTCTCTTTTTGCCTAACCCATTGTGGACTGAATTTTCAGTCACTTGCAACAATGACTCATAACTGATAGAGAAATACACCAAATTTATGTGTGTTCTCTGCAGGTAAACAGAAATCACTTCTAGATTAACTTATGGAAAAAAAAATTGGGGGGAGGGATGTAGGCTGGCTCACAGAATCAAAGGAAAAACAGAAGCTGGTTTTGGAAAGGGCATGTCCCAGAGTGGTCCCTAGGGATTCAGGTAGCAGGAACAAATGGACAATGTCATCAGGGCACTGTCCTGGAATAAACCAATGCTAGCTGTCTAACATCCTTTAGTCACTCTACTCAAGATTCAGATTAGTTTGGGAGAAAGAGTACATTTAGCCTTACTTGAGTCATATGTCCGACCCTTGTCCAAGGGAAGGCAGGACACCTGGATCGAGATTATCACCAAGACTGTATACAATAGGAGCTGGGTAATTCCCCAAAGCTAACTCTGTTCTAAGCACTTTGCATATATTAACTGATTTTAATCCTCAGAGTAGCCCTAAGAGATAGGTACAGTTATTATCATTCCTGTTATACAGATGAGGAAACTGAGACACGGAGACGCTAAGTAACTTGCCCTCGGTCACACAGCTGTCAAGGGATAGAGCTGTGATACAAACACATGCAATTTGGCTCCAGAGTCTGTGCACTATATTGTTGTCCAGCAGAAGGGGGAATGGATGCAGGTCCTTTGTAATAGTTACCTTTCAAGCAAGGGATTATGGGAAATTCCACTCTCCCTGTATCATTTTTCAGCCACCATGTATTGACAGGCAAAAAAAAAAGATTATAGAGAGATTTCTATTTTGGAATGTAAAGGAATTCTCCTTAGCCAATAGGGGAAAGAGAAGGAACCAAACTCTGGTGATCTCACTCTCTTCCAGCCACAAGGAGACTGGGAAATATCCAGGACCCAGGGGGACTCCAGCTGTCACCAGGCCACACTAGCTGAGACTGAGGAAACCCAGGGAACCAGGAAGGCATGATCCATCATAAAAGGACTGGTGGGGACCAACAGGGAGAGGAATGCTCCCACTTTGGTGAAGCAGATTGGACTGGCCACTGTCTGAAGACCTCTGCCCTCACCGAACCTGCTGGGCTCAATTCCTGCATCCCCTTTCGGGGCCTCCTACACAGTCATCCTGTCCCTTCTTTCATATAACCCCTCTACCCTCCTCGTTCTGCAGGGCCCACTCCAACAACATGGAACAGGTCTTTGTCAAGGCTTCAAGCTTGAGAACAGCAAGGCCACAACAAAGCCCTAGAACTCAAACCACCTTCCTCTGGCTTAGTCTTCAACTGCAGAACAGTAGAAACCCCTATTCAGTCCTGGATGCTACCCCTTCCCAGGAACAGGGTCAGTGAGACAGACTTAAGTTCGAATCCCAGCTCTGTCACTAATGAGCTATGTTACAATGCACAAGTTGTATAACCTCTCTGAGCATCCATTCTACTGCCATGAAATGAAGATAGCAATTACTGTTGCTAGCCACTCTCAAGTCAGCCCCTACTCATGGCGATCCCACACACAACAGACACTACCTGGTCCTGTGCCTTCCGCATAATCAGTTGCAGATCCCATTGTTGTGGTCTGTGGGGTTTTCAGTGGCTGATTTTTGGAAGTAGATCACCAAGCCTTTCTTCCTAGTCTGTCTTAGTCTGGAAGCTCTGATGAAACCTGTTCAGCATCAAAGCAATATGCAAGCCTTCACTGACACAGGGGTGGTAGCTACACATGAGGTGCATTGGCCAGGAGTTGAACCGGGATCTCTTGCATGGAAGGCAAGAATTCTACCACTGAACCACCAATGCCCCTCTGAATATAACAGTAAACAAACAAACAAAACCTGTTGCTGTTGAGTCTATTCCGAATCATGTTCATCCCATGTGTTACAGAGTAGAACTGCTCCATAGGGTTTTCTTGGCTGCAATCTTTACGGAAGCAGATCTCCAGGTCTTTCTTCCACTGTGCTGCAGGATAGGTTCAAAACCACCAATCTTTAGGTTAGTAGTTGAGTGCAAACTATTTGTGACACCCAGGGATCTTGATAAAAATACTGGGGCTGACTCAACAACAAAAAGACAAATAACACAATTAAAAAATGGGCAAAGGATATGAACAGGCACTTTGCCAAGGAAGACATTCATGCTGCTAACAGACACAGGAAGAAATGCTTACAATCATTAGCCATAAGAGAAATGCAAATCAAAACCACGATGAGATACCATCTCCCCCCAACAAGGCTAGCATTAATCCAAAAAACACAAAATAATAAATGTTGGAGAGATTGTAGAGAGACTGGAACACTTATACACTGTTGGTGGGAATGTAAAATGGTACAATCACTTTGGAAATCGATTCAGCGCTTCCTTAAAAAGCTAGAAATAGAAGTACCGTACGATCCAGCAATCCGGCTGCTTGGAATATATCCTGGAGAAATAAGAGCCATCACACAAATAGATATATGCACACCCATGTTCACTGCAGCACTGTTCACAATAGCAAAACGTTGGAAATAACCTAGGTGCACATCAGCAGATGAATGGATAAACAAATTATGGTATATTCACACAATGGAATACTATGCAATGATAAAGAACAATGATGAAGCTGTGAAACATAACATTGAGGAATCTGGAAGGCATTATGCTGAGTGAATTTAGTCAGTCACAAAAGGACAAATATTGTATAAGACCACTATTATAAGAACCCAAGAAAAGGTTTAAACACAGAAGAAACCATTCTTTGATGGTTACCAGGGTGGGGAGGGAGGGAGAGGGGTATTCACTAACTAGATAGTAGACAAGAATTATCTTAGGTGAAGGGAAGGACAGCACACAATAGAGGGGAAGTCATACAACTGGACTAAACCAAAAGCTAAGAAGTTTTCTGAATACAACCAAACACTTCAAGGCACAGAGTAGCAGGGGCAGGGGTCTGGGGACCATGCTTTCAGGGGACATCTAGGTCAATTGGCATGACAAAGTTTATTAAGAAAATGTTCTGCATCCTACTTTGGAGAGTGGTGTCTGGGGTCTTAAAAACTAGCAAGAGGCCATCTAAGATGCATCAATTGGTCCCAACCCACCTGGAGTAAAGGAGAATGAAGAACACCAAAGTCACAAGGAAAGTATTAGCCCAAGAGACAGAAAGGGCCACATAAACCAGAGACTCCATCAGCCTGAGACCAGAAGAACTAGATGGTGCCCGGCTACCACCAATGACCGCCCTGACAGGGAACACAACGGACAGTCCCTGATGGAGCAGGAGAAAAGTGGGGTGCAGAACTCAAATTCTAGTAAAAAGACCAGACTTAATGGTCTGACTGAGACTGGAGGAACCCCAGAAAGCCATGGCCTCTGAATTCTCTGTCAACCCAGCACTAAAACCATTCCTGAGGCCAACTCTTCAGACAGACATTAGATGGGATTATGGGACAAAAAATGATACTCATGAAGAGTGTGCTTCTTAGCTCCAGTAGATACATGAGACTAAATTGGCAACTCCTGTGCAGAGGTGAGAAGAGAAAACAGAGAGGGTCAGGAGCTGGCTGAATGGACACGGGAAATCAGGGGTGGAAAGGAGGAGTGTGCTGTCACAGTATAGGGAGAGCAATTAGGGTTACATAACAATGTATATATAAATTTTTGTATGAAAGACTAACTTGAATTGTAAACTTTCACTTAAAGTACAATACAATAAAATTAAAATACTGGGGCTGAAATTCAGCTGCTATACACCGGTACAGCTGAACTGGTTGTTAAAACATCGAAATACTTCAAAATTGATTGGTAAATAGATAGCCATAGCCCTGAGTCCCTCATCACCCTAGCTTCTCCCCTGCCCATGCCCCCATCCCTTGATCCAGTCACTAAAGTGTTAACTTTTGGCAGAATAGAGAGCTAATAAGAATTGATCTAGCACTAAGGCCAGCATCTGTTCTGATTAGTAATGCTTGTGCCTTAACAGGCAGCTAGATATTTTTAATATCACCTTGACAATAGTCATCTTTGGGATTAAGTGAGATAATGCAGATAAAGAACTTGGCTAGCACATAGTGCAGCAACCCAGTCAATGTCAGCTATTACTGCTTTAAACATTAAACCTAGGAGTCAGAGGCAGGATCAAGATCAGTGTCTCAGAGTCGAGTATTAGGAGCAGATGAAGATGGGTTATGACTAGGAGTTCAGGAACAGTGCAGGGGGGCGGGGAGCCTCTAAGATGATTCCTGGGTCAGGTTGCATGGGTCGTCCTGCCTGGTTTAAAGGGCCAGAGCAAGCACAACATATCCTGCTTCAAAACCTTCCCGTTGCCTTCCTTCCCATCTCACCTGGGATTCCGGGATCTTATGCTTGATTCCAGGGCTGGGGAATGGGGATGGCCAGGAGGAGCCTCACACTGGCCCCCTTGTAGTTCAGGTTACAGGGTCGCTATGAGTCAGAATCAACTCGATGGCAATGGGTTCTCGTTGTTCTCTCTACCGCTGCTCCTGGAATCCTACGTCTTAGTGGACTCTAAGACAGAGAATCTGTTTCCAGGAGGCTGGGCTTTGCCTTTTAATAGCATTGTGGGAATCAGAAACAAATATTCCAGTGTAAGGTCCTTTTTCTTAAGGATCTGAAGGGCCTAGGGAGAGGCAGTATTGTGTGCTGGCTACGAGTGTGGGCTCTGGAGCCAGACTGCTTGCATTCAAATCCCGGTTCTACAGCTTTACTAGGTATGTGAACTTGGACCGGTACCCTTAACTCTTCTGTGCCTCATTTCCTCATCTGCTATGAGGGAATAGTAATAGTACCTACCTCATAGAGTTCTTATGAGGAATAAAGTAGGTAATACGTATGAAGTGCCGGAATAGCGCCTGACACGAAGTAAGCTCCCAATAAAATAAAAAACCAAGCCTGTCGTCGTCCGACTCATGGCAACCTCACATGTTACAGAGTAGAACTGAGCTCCATAGGGTTTTCTTGGCTGTTATCTTTATAGAAGCAGATAGCCAGGCCTTTTTTCCATGGCACCACTGGGTTGGTTTGACTCTCCAACCTTTTGATTAGTAATCGAGCACAAACCGTTTGTACCACCCAGGGATCTAAGCTTTTGACATATATATTAGTTATACTTAAATCCAGTGGAGCAGTCAGATTACAGATAGCTGCTGTGGAGTTGACTCCTACTCATGGTGATCTTATGCAGAATGAAATGCTGCCCAATCTTGCATCATCCTCAGGATCGCTGGCATGTTCAAGTCCATTGTTACAGCTACTGTGACAATATATCTCATCAAGGGTCTCCCTCGCCTTTGCTGGCATTTCACTTCACCAGACACGATGTCCTCCTCCAGTGATTGACCACTCCTGATGACATGTTCAAAACAAGCGAGTCGGACAATGTTCTGCTGTGATCCATAAGGTTTTCAACTGGCTAATTTTCGGAAGTAGATTGCCAGGCCTTTCTTCCTAGTCTGTCTGCTCAGGATGACAAATGGTCTTTCTTCACCCTCCTATTTGAAATTCTTCCCCAGTTCCTCTGGGCCTACTGTACCAGCTCCCACATTTTACAGACCAGCAGGGAGGCCCAGGGAGAGAAAGGTTTTGCCTACAGTCATATGTGGGGGTCATCTGTGGAGAAATTGGCAAAGCTGAGACTCATTTTAGAACTTCAGGTCCCATTTCCAACTTTCCAGGCTGTCTCTCCCCAGTTTCTCGTGCCTTGGATTATGGTTATCGGTGAGCAGGGATGCGTTCTTGCCATCTCTGGGTCCCCAGAGCACAGACAGTACCCAGGAAGTGGTACAGTCACGGCTTTCAGACACCTATCCCCACCCTGTGAGTCATCCACCCATGGGGGCCAGGGATGCGCCTCCTAACTGGAGCCCCAGGTAGCTTGCACCCTGCTAGGGGCCCAGAGAGGAAATAAATTGCAGCCAGTAGAACGGGCGGCAAAACCAGTGTAAGGGGGAATGTGACGGTTCCTAAACAAGAAGGACTTCCACTGCTTCCTCCCCAGCGAGCCTGACCCGGGAGTTGCTGGGACCAGCCCCAGAAACCTCGCCTCCACTCGCGGCAGACCCATGCGCCACCCCCACCCCCCATTGCCCAGCCGGCCTCCGGGTTCGCGACTCCGGCAGAAGCCCCGCCTCTTCGCCGCGGCTCTTCACCATCCCCGCTCCTATTCGACAAAGCCCCAGACGCCCCGCCCCGGCTTTTGACAGATTCCCAGAAATCCCTCCCCCGCACGTGGCCCAGCCCGGGGATATCTGCTCCCCTTTCGCCCCGTTTGGGGTAAAAGGGTGCCTTCTCACCGTCGGGAGCTCTCGGCTGCCAGTGCAGCCAGGACAGCCGAGCCGGGCTTTGGGGAGACCCTCAAGTGCAGGAGGAGGTGTCCCCGGGGCCCTGAAGCCTTCCAGACCCGCTCAGTGTAAACCGCCTCGGGTTTGTGTCAACATCCGAGGCCGGAGACTGGCGGCGGCTGGGAACCGGCTCTGTCTACGGGACGGAAAGATGGGAGGGTGGGGAATGGAGGGGTCCATGGATTAGGCAGAGGGTTCCTTCTGGGGGAGAACCCGAGTGGCCTATTGGGGTCCATGGACAACAGGGAGGTACTGTCTAGGGAGGGATGGAGACTGGGGATTGCAGCGGTGGCTGGAGGCAGTCCAGGGCTAGCGTGGGGCTAGGTGAGTGTGGGTTCCTCGCCGTCCATACTGCACTCTCTGCGCCCACCCACCTTCCTCTCTGCTGCTCAGCGTGAGGGGAGTGGGTGTGTATGAGGGGCTAATGAGAAGGCGTGGGCTGCTAGACCATCCCAGCTCTTCCGCCTCCCACCCAGCTACTTGGCAGCTCCTTGTTGCCCTTCTTCAATTTCGGGTGGGATATGAGTTGGGGGGGATCGCATCTTGTGACTCATCCCCTCTTCCACCTCCACCTCCGCTGGGGCCCAGTAAGGGAAGGCTTAGAGACTCGGCTGTGGCTGTCCCGTTTCCGTAGCAACGGCGCGGTTGTTTCTGCGAATCCGTTTCAATCGTTGGCACTTTTCGCCCTAGACTGCAGCCCGGGGTCTGAGCCTCAGGGCGGGGGTGCAGACCAGGGTACAGCCCTCCCCCTTCCTCTCGAGGCCCGGAAGGTCAGCGCCGGGGCGCGCTTCTCCAGCCAGGCCTCGCGGGCCACCCCATCCCCACCTGAAACCCCGCCTGTCACTCCGCCCCAGCCGAACCAATCAACGCCCAATTTGCCCGAGATGAGGCGGGCCTTATGCAAATCGTGTTGCCCCTGAGAAGCACATAGTGATACAAGAGCTGGGAGGCGGCTCCGGCGCGGATCTAGGAGGACCTGGCCGACAGCCCCAGAGCCAGTCTTGGTCCCCGCGGCCCGCCGAGGCTCGGAGCCATCCAACGACCCGGCGAGCGGCCTCAGGTAACGTGGGTGGGATGGGACCTCGGAGGCACCCCCCGGGGCCGAAGCCCTTACCCCCACCCCCTCCACCACCTATTCCCATCCTCATCTCCAGCCCGCTCTGATTCACCCATAGGCGTCAGCACCTGGAGGACCCGTCCCTGGCCAGGGGGCCTCCACCTCAGTCCAGGCCTCAAGTGTCCCAAGGAGGGAGGCAGACCCGCCCCCTTATCCTAGCTCAGGTAAGAACAACCATTGCTCTGGCCCTGAGCGCGTGTGTGTGTGTGTGTGTGTGTGTGTGTGTGTGTGTGTGTGCGCGCGCGCGCGCGCGCGCACAGACACACACACACACACACACACACACCTGGGGGTGTGGTGTCTCTGGTGCTAGAGGGAGCACCAATTACTCTTCCTCCTGTTGTTTTGGCGATACACGGTCTCCCAGCCCCATGGCAACCTCCCACTTCCACCTGTAGCCCCCACCCATACCACCCAGCCCCACCAGCAGCTCACCAAACTTCACACCACAGGGCCCCAAGTCACTTCTCTCTGATCCCTCCCAAGACAGGGGGATGGACTGGATGAGATAATCTTTAACAACCTTCCACACTTACATGCTCTGGTTCTGTGGTAGGCTATGGGAAAACAGGACCCTTTCACTCTTTCCCTAAATCGTTAGGACCTTTCAGAGAGAAGGCCTGAGGGGCTTTAGTCCTCACTGAGGGGACATTGCTTCGTACCCAGGCCACCTTCACCCACACACTCTCCAGGTCCCTTCCATTAGGAGTGTCTCCTAGACCACCAGCCCACCCTGGCATGGACAGCCCTGAGATGGGGGTGGTCAAAGGCCAAAGACAGCCTCCACCTCCATAAGAGCCCACTCCCACCTCACACTGTCCCTTCTGACTGTCCCCACTTTCCACTCCTCAAGCTGACAGAGCTCACAGCATACCTGAGGGAGGAAAGTTGCATCCCACCCCCCAATTTTCCTTCCTCACAAATACAAAGTGTCTCAACAGTCCCTCCCCATGGCCCCAGTGCTAGGCAAAGTCCCCATGTTTGGCCTCTTTTGCCTTGATCGGAGGTTGAGCCAGGGACATCGCCCCAGCAGACCACCCATACCCTCTCAGTCGCTACTACCAAGGCCCCATTCCCCTCACCCCTCACAGTCAAAGCACCAAGTCCTCTCATTCTACCTCTCAGATATCTTTCTCATCTGTACCCTCTCTGGTCTTCTTAGGCCCAGTGCCTTCCCCACTTCCATCTTCCTGCTTCCCCTGGGGGACCATGACAAAGCTCCATGTGAACTGTGTCACTCTTTTCCCTAAGGTGTCCTGAACCCGGAGGGCAGAGCTGGGTTCAAATTTTGCCTTTGCCCCAAGTTATTGTTTGACTTTGGCCAAGTCACTTCCCTCTGATCCATCCCAGGACAGGGGGATAGATTGGATGAGATAATCTTTAACAACCTTTCACACTTACATGCTCTGGTTCTGTGGAAGACTATGGGAAAAGAGGACCCTTTCACTCTTTCCCTAAACTGTTAGGACCTTTCAGAGAGAAGGCCTGAGGGGCTTTAGTCCTCACTGAGGGGACATTGCTTCATACCCAGGCCACCTTCGCCCACACACTCTCCAGGTCCCTTCCATTAGGAGTGTCTGCTAGACCACCAGTCCACCCTGGCATGGACAGCCCCAAGATGGGGGTGGTCAACAGAGCCCAGCCTTTGTTTAACATGCCGTGCCTCCCATTAGCTAGGAGAGGGAGAAGTCCTGCCCAGTTGAAGCCCAAAGACCTGGCTGCTGCTGTTGCTTGGAGAAGAGCAAGAGGAGAGGAAAGAGAGAAAAATCTCCTGACCAGGGAGCTGTTGTCACTATGGCAACTGCCTCAGCACCAGCTCCTCTGAAGCTGGCAAGGGTGTGGGATTATTGCCTTCCGCAGCCCCTCCCACCCTCACTGCCACCTCCCCATTCTAAGCCCACAACCCTGAGCCCTGCCCTCTGGAAGAAGCCTCTGAGCACAGAGGGGGCACTGGCTTTGTGTATGGGGCAGTGCTAGTTCTTTCATAGCTGGAGGGCAGCCCTCAAGAGTTAAGCAGGTAGTCTACCCATGTTCAGCAGGGCCAGAGGTCCAACAGAAAATGCCCCCAGCTGGATCCTGGCCTTTACTCTGCTGCTGATGAGCTCTGGTTGACCTTGGATGAACCCTTCCTTTCCCTGGGTCTGAGTTCCCTTGTCTCTGGAGTGAGTGTGATGGCAGGAGAACATAAAAAAATAAAACAACCTGACGTAAGTTCCAAGGAGGAAGGAGGGGTTCTTGCCCCTCTCACGTAATCCACCAAAGGCTGTGTTCCAGACACTGCGTTTAAGTCTCTGCAGGGCAGTTCTGTGCAGCCACAGAGAGGAGAGCTGGAACCAGTGATGAGGAGCTACAAGAGGGCAAACTTAGGAACAAAGGGGAAAGGGCTTTGCGCACTGTCCAAATTGCTCAAAGATGGACTAGGCCATATTGGGAGGGGATAAGTTCCTTGACATGGAGCAAAAAGATCTGGGAACTTTTTCTGGCTCAGGCAAGTGTTTAATGCAAACCAAACCAAATCAGGCTCCATCTTGTAATTCTAGAGCAGCGCCAGGTGAGGGTCAGAGAGCCCTGAAGTCTATACGCTAGTGGAGGCTGGACTCCATGGCCTCACAGGGTCCGTCTGTGCCCAAGTGCTGAGTCCATGCAGCTGGCTGGCAGAGGCTGATCATAAGGAAGTGGGCTTGAGCCAGGCCCTCAAGGCTGATTATAGCCTGCATCAGCCTAGGTACTGAAACAGCTAAATGAGTAGGTGAGGTAGGTTCTGGCTGTGAGAAGCCTAGCTTGAAAGGAGTATGGGGGTTGTGAGGGGAGCAGTGGGTGGTGAGGCTAGACAGGTGGACACCTTGAGGCCAGATTCTAGAGGATCTTGGAGTTTGAAGAAGGCCTATGGGCATGGCCGCCTCTAGCCTATATTGTACTTCTGTGCAAAACTGGAGCAGAGGAATCAGAAAAACAGCACTCTCTGTGAGGCAGTTGCAGCCCGTAGGTATAGCCTTGGCAAACAGCTGGATTTCAGCTCCCTGCCCATGGGGAGAGAGAGGACACAGAGAAGGTTCCAGGGGCACTTCAAAAGAAGAAATGTCAGAGCCTGATGACAAGTTGGACCTAGGGGAAAGAGAGTGGGGAAAACTGAAGGTAACTAAGATGGAATTTCCTCCCATAGGAGGACAGAGGGAAGGAAGGGGCAATGGAGAGAGAAGGACCAGCACAGGTGAGGATGAGTCTGATTGTATACATGCCGAGTCAGAGGTGCTGGCGGGCTACCCCTAAAGGTAGACATTTCCCGGGTATTAGAGACCCTGGCTTGGAGCTCAGGCAAGATGGCCCCACTGAGACCAAGAGGGAAACCAGAGCTGTGGTTTCCCAGAAGGCATGTGGAGGTGAGGAAGGTGTGTGCTGGACAATAGTAGCTACGATTTGGAGAGAGAGGTCCAGGCAGGTGGCATGGAGTCAGCCTAGGTGCTCATCTGGAAGGGTCCACTGACCTGCTTAGTAACCCTGAGTCAGTTCTCTTCTCTCCCTGGGTTTCAGCTTTCACTAAAATAATGGGATGATCTTAAAGGGCCATGCCAGATCTAAGAGCAGTAGAGGGAATGAGAAGTGAAGGAGGTGGCATAGTCCTTAACGGGCCTGGAACCAGATGGGAGCAGGAAACAGGTGAGGCCCCAGGAGACAGAGAATTGTGGGGGAGGCAGCACAAGGCAGGGAGGAAAGAAGGGGTAGAAGACCCACACGACACTATGACACATACACAAACATGTGCACTCTGACAGATTCACAGTCTCATACATTGACACCCTCCCACACACTGGATAGTCCTCACGCAGACACCCAGGCACATTCCACAGGAGACAGTCTGCCTCCGCCCATCAGACACCTCAGCCCCTGGGTTCTCCGGCTTCCTTGACTATACCCTGGGCCTTCAGGATCCTTTGGACTTGGGGAGGGGGCAGCTGGGGATGGAGTCCATCTCTTTCTGTCCATTTCCAGAGGCATCCTTGACTCTGGCCCCAGTGCAGCCATTCTGAAACCCACAGCCCCAGGTTCCTAGAAATGGCATGTCTCCCCCTCCCCATCTTCTCCTGGTGGCATACAGGAGTTCTCATCCTCTGATGGTGGTAGGTGGGGAAGGATGTTGCTGCCCCGACTGCTCCTTGATATTCCTTGAGGCTCAGTAGTGGAATCTCAGGCATAGAGGTATTCTGTAACTAACCTGGGGTCACCCAGCAAGGGAGGAGGGCATGGAACAGACCAACCTCAGTCCTGCTTGTTTAGGATACCCCCAGCAATAAGGATCAGAATCTGAACTGGCATGGTGTGGGCTGTGGAAGTGGAAGTCCTTCTGTCAGCCTGAGGGCTTGCTTTTTTCAGAGCACCTTGAGGACAGGCTACCCTGGGGTGGGGGACCTGGCTTCCTTCCGAAGAGTATCCAAGCAGGCCAGACGGCACCTCCCAGGCCAGGTCCCTGCAACCCCAGGCTCTGGAGGGACATTCCTACTGTGGAGGGCAGATAGGAGTGTCCACCCAGTCTTCAGGGTGTGGGTGGGGAGAACTCGCTCTGGCCAGGCTTCTTGGAGGGGGTCTGTACTGCCGTCTGCAAACACTTACCCTGGCACAGGCCACTGGAAGGACTCACGTTCCAGATGGGACGGACTCTTCATCCTCCCCAACCAGCTCCTCAGCAACGACACCTCCATTCACTCTGCCCAGACCTGAGCGTCTGTCTCAGCTCCTCTGGCCCTCTCACCCCACATCTAGTCAGTCACCAAGTCTTGCCAATGCCACCTGCTAACACCTCTCAGTCCATCCCCATCTCTGTACAACCCGTACCCTAGTTTAAGCCTCATCATCTCTCACAGGGACTGTGCAGCAGACCCCTCCCTACTCTCCTCACCAGCCCCCAGCCCCAGGTCATCTTGCATACTGTAGCCAAAGGAAAAATTTAAAACATAGCCTTTCTGGGTCCCTGGCACCTAATTCAGGACCTGACATTCTATAGGCACTCTGTGGTTGTGGAATGAATACTATCTTCCTAGTGCCTGCTTTAAAAACCTCCAAGAGCTTCTGTCCACTATGGGTAAAGTCCAAAGCATGGATTGAAGGCCCTTTATAATCAGCCTCTTTGACCCGATTATAAATTATTGAAGGTCTGCTTTATCTCCATCACCAGCACAGGGCTGAGTGCACAGTCAGCCTCAATAAATGCTCAGGGAATGAATGAACTAATGAAAAGCAGAATGTAATCAGGGTCATCAATGCTACAAGCTAGGATTTCTATTTGTACCGAGAAAGGAAAGAGAGACGCTTCCTGCTGGGGTGGCCCAGGAAGGCCTTGAGGAAGAACTTGGGTGACGGTGCCAGAGGGCACGTGATGAACTTGCCCCAGGTCCCTGGTAGGAGGGGAGCTGGCAGAGGCAGGTGGGGGCTGAGTGTGGAAAGCCTTGAATAGCAAGCAGAGGAGCTAAGACTTTATTCTGTGGACGTGGGGCGCTATGAAAGGTGTAAACAGAAGAGGAAAGGATGAAGATTGTGGCATGCAGCACGGGTCAGTGAGAAGGAGAGCTGAGACCTGGAAGGCTGGAGACTTGGGCGTCAGGAGATGGAATCTGCTATGAGGAGAGGGGAGGGGCCTGCTGTGGGAAGGTTGCCTGATGAGGAGCACAGCGTGTAGTGGAAGGGGCCTGCTGTGGAGAGAGCAGGTCCCCTTATGAGGAGTGTAATGAAGGGAAGGTACCTCGTGTGTGTGTGTGTGTGTGTGTGTGTGTGTGTGTGTGTGTGTGTGTGTGTGTGTTTGTGTGTGTGGAGGGTGGGGTGAAGGGAGAGAACTCCTCCTGAGGGAAGTCGGATCTCCTATGGGAGGGGGTGTGGTGAAGGACAGAGCCCAGCTGTGGGAAGGTAGGGCTTGTTGGGGATGATGCTGAGAGGAGGGGACCCTGCTGTGGAAGCAGAGATCCTGGCTGTGTGGGAAGGTGGGGCTTGTTATGGGAGAGGGTGTGAGGAAAGAAGACTCTTGTGGAGAAAGGGGACCCTGTTATATGGGGACCCTCTGCCCTGCACTACGATGAGGGAGCCCCTTGTCCCCCAGGCCCCGCCATGGGGAAGACCAACAGCAAACTGGCCCCAGAGGTGCTGGAGGACCTGGTTCAGAACACGGAGTTCAGCGAGCAGGAACTGAAGCAGTGGTACAAAGGCTTCCTGAAGGACTGCCCCAGCGGCATTCTCAACCTAGAGGAGTTCCAGCAGCTCTACATCAAGGTGGGCGAGAGGGCGGGGGCGGGGGCGGGGCCCAGAGCAGGGATTGCAGGGCAGGGCTGGCCAAGCGCCCCAACCTCTCTTTTCTCCCCCTCAGTTCTTCCCTTATGGCGACGCCTCCAAGTTCGCGCAGCACGCTTTCCGCACCTTCGACAAGAACGGAGATGGTACCATCGACTTCCGGGAGTTCATCTGCGCCCTTTCGGTCACTTCCCGTGGCAGTTTCGAGCAGAAACTCAACTGGGCCTTCGAGATGTATGACCTGGACGGCGATGGGCGTATTACGCGCCTCGAGATGCTGGAGATCATCGAGGTGAGCTGGGGCTGTCCGGAGAAGCTGGAGGGGGGTGGGTAGTGGAGGGTGCCCCTGACTTCTCGGCCAACCCTTTACTGACATCGTCCTCTCTGGCCTCAGGAGCCTCATCCCTGCACCCCATCTCTCCCCTAGCCCGCCTCCCAGGATCCAGTGGCTGATTAGCACTGATCGGGCACTCAGTGCAGGACAGGCCCTGTGCTAAGTGCTTTAGCTAACAGCCCTATGGGGGAGGTTCTGTTAGAAACCCCATTTTACAGATGAGAAAACTGAGGCACAGGTCACACGGCTAGCAAGTGGCAGAACCATGATTCAAATCCAGGGACGTTTACCCTGGAGCCTTATTGGGTGTGCCTGCCACAGGCACTGTTCAAAGTTCTGCTTTCGTAGGGCTTTCCTTCTAGTGAGAAATTTGTTCAGAAAGCTAACCGAGTAGATGTTTTGGGGAAGAGAGTTCCATGCAGAGGGAAATACATGGAAAGACCCTGAGGCGAGATTCAAGGAGTGACTGGGAGACCAGGTGTGTGGGAGTGCAGTAGGAGAGTGGTCTGACAGGAGCCAGGAGCCCAATCTCTTAGCTTCTGTCTTAGTTACTTAGTGCTGTTCTAACAGAAAGACCACGGCTGGATGGTTTTAAAGAACAGAAATGTATTTTCTCTGTTCTGGAGGCTAAGTCCAGATCAGGGTCTCAGCCACGTCAAATTCCTTCTGTGAGCCTCTCTCTCAGTTTCTGGTGTCTGCCAGTGATCCTTGGCGTTCCTCTGTGTTCCTTGGCATCTGTCTTCCCCTGAGCGTGTCTGTGTCTATTCTGCTCTTTTTGTAGCTCAAGTCACTAGGTTTAGGATCCACCCTATACTGGCATGACCTCATCAACATAACAAAAGAAAGCCCCTATTTCCAAACAGGATTACACCCACGGGTACAAGGGTTAGATTTCAACACCTGTTTTGGTGAGATGCAATTCAATCCGTAACAGTGTTTTGTAGGCTGGACTAGAGACTTTGACTTTATTCTGAGTGAGGTGGGAAGCCATTAGAGAACCTTCTCTATTCTCCGTGTGGATAATAGACCATGGTGGGAGAGGGGGAATGGAAGGAGCAGAGAGACCAGTTAGGAGACTTCTACAGCAATTCAGTCAAGAGCTGATGGGAACTATAACTATGGAGGAGCAGTGGGAGTGGTAGGAAGTACCCCTGGGCTCTACCTGGATCTTCTGGGTATGGGATCTATTGGAAAATTAGGGCTAACAAGATTTGCTGAAGGATTGGATGTGGGGTATGAGAGAAGGAGGGGAGTCAAGAATGGTGTCAAGGTTACTGGCTGGAACAACTGGAAGAATGGAGCTGCTGTTTACTGAGACAGGGAATGCCGGGGAGGCTCAGGCAGGGAATGAAGAGCTGGTTTTAAGACATGTTTAGTTTGAGATGTCTTAATAACCGTGCTTCACTTTCCAGTATCCTCACCATCCCCTGGTATTCTCCCTGCCCACCTCCAGGTCTCTTTCATTTGCCCCCAATCCTTCCTCCCCTTGTGACTGTTCACACCTCGCCCCTCACCCCACCAGGCTATCTACAAGATGGTGGGCACCGTGATCATGATGCGCATGAACCAGGATGGGCTCACACCCCAGCAACGTGTGGACAAGATCTTCAAGAAGATGGACCAGGATAAGGATGACCAGATTACGCTGGAGGAGTTCAAAGAGGCGGCCAAGAGTGACCCATCAATTGTGCTGCTGCTGCAGTGTGACATGCAGAAGTAGAGGCTGGTGAGGGGCAGGGCCCCTGGCCAGGAGGGTGTGACCTCTCTGGCTGACCCTTCCCCAGGGGGAAGGGGCACTCTGGCCTCACTCCCTGGCCCACCACCCCTCTGTCCAAACCCTTTCTCCCCTCAGTCAGGATCCTTGAAGGACCACCCTACGCTGCAGACGAGACAGGTCCTCAGGTATCCTGTCATCTAGCCCCACCCCCAGCCTTGGCCCAGAACCAACATTCACTGGGCATAGGGGAGCTGGCTTTTGCCCCAAGAGGCAGGGTTAAGGAGGGGGGCTGGGGTCCCGCTTTGAAGTCCTGTTGATTCCTGGGATTGAGTTTTATAGGATGTGGTCCCATGGGTCCTAATCAAAGGTCCAATTTGGATCTGTCCTTTTTACCCAGAACCCTTAAAGGCAGTCTTTGTCCTGCTCCCTCGACTCTACCTGGCCCCCTCTGGCCCCTGCCTTTGGGGGTTCATCTGGTCCTTTGTTCAGCTAGTGTCTATGAGCACCTGTTCTGTGCCAGGCATCTGTAGGTGCTAAAAATATGGTGGTTTACAACTCACATTCCAAACCCCCTTGAAGTTCATAGGGTAGTGAGACAATCTCCTATGGTCGGTATCTCAGCGGGGGAGATTGAGAGCACAACTGAGCAGAGGGTGGGGTAAGGCTGGTTAGTTTGAGAGGAGTTATTAAATCTTTCCGCTCAGCTCTGGAAAAAGCTGCAGCAGGATGAAATGAACAGCGTTTGGAAGTTTAGGAGCCATGTAAGTGGGGAATAGTAGACGTTTTGAGAAAAATGGAAAATTATGGAATGCTTATTTTTTTAGTACCCTTTAAAAGAGCTGAAGTCATTTTATTAGTTTAGGGTGTTAAAATGTAGTCTATATTAGTTGGTTTCTTATGAAATGATTCAATGAATGTAGAAACTGCTAAGTTTCAGGGAATAAAGAGCTGAGGAAAAAAGGGGGGTAAAAATACTACAAACTTAGCAGATAACACTTTTCCCCCCTCTTCTTACCAGTCTCAGTTTCGAGCTGTCACATTCAGCAGTTTCTGCTGCTTCTGCTTCATCTTTTTTATTGCCTTTTCCAGTTCAATGAACATTCTATTGTGCACCTACTATGCTTGGGTACTGACTTCAGAGACTTGAGAAAACAAGATTTGCTGAGAGTGAGACAAGTGTATTCCCCACATTTTGGTCATTCCTTTCTGGATTTGGTCTAGTTTCAAGGATGGGCTTATTCTTTCATTGCCACAGAAGGAGCTGGGAGAAGAGAACCACCCGGCCACTGGAGGGATCCTCTTTTTAGGTTTTCAGGCTACCTTTATGGACCAAATGCCTAAAAATGTGCTAGGTGTGCTCCGTTTGAAAGGCTTTTTCTAATCCTGAATCCTAAGTCTGCCAGGCAGTTCATCTTCCAGGGGCACTGGCTTTTGCTTTCCGATTTTGTTTCCATGAGCTATACAGCTACATGCTTCGACTGCCAGAAAAATTAATCTTGCTTCTTTCAAGTCTTTCACTTTCCTTTCTCCTGTACTTGTGATCAGAAGTTTGCTTTGATGTGCGGTGACAGGTGATTTCCTCTTGAACTGCTGGTGAAAACAGTCTAGCACATGGGTGCTGTCAGCCAAGGTGGGAGTGGGGAATGATTACTGAGTCAGCAGGGTGTTGGGAGAATTGCATTTGCAGGATGCTCACTTCTGGGTGCTCACCTGTCCTGCCTCTCTGCAGGTGGAAACTCTTGGAGACGCTGACCTTTGGCCCCAAGTTCTGTTGGCCCTTCCTTTTTGCTACCCTTGGAGGTAGCATCTCCTGGCCAGTCTGGGCCACTGGCTTGCCACCCTCTTTCTATCCTTCTGCCTATGACCAGCCACATGGTAAGGCTGTGGAATTCATATCCTCTGGTAGGAACTAGCAGCTCTTTACCCAGTAAATACCTCAAGGGATGTTCCGTTTCTCTCAGGAGCTGGCCATTAGGTGTGTCTTGTGCTGTCAGTCAGCACTGCAGACACACAGATGCTCAACAGCCTGGCTCAGCTGGGACCTGATCTTCTGGTGGAAGACTTTTCACAAAGTGGGGTTCTTTCCCCTCAAACGTTGAATCTAACCTAACCCACAATTGCACAGACTTTCATGGCTTTCCAAGGTTTGTCAGCTACCCCATCTCATTCTGTCCTCACAGGCCAGAGAAGTAGAGATTTCATTCCCCTCCTCCAGACTTGGAATCTGAGGCTCAGAGCAGGGGGAGTCCCTGTGCAGAGGGACAGTCACAGTCGGCAGGTGACACAGTGCCAAGACTTGAGCCCAAGACTCTAAGAGGGTTTCTTCCCTTCAGAGTCTCTTCCCTGCTCATTTCTCTGACTCTGAGTTGTGCAGAGGTTGATTGTACAGCAAGCTAAGCTGGGTTTGGTCTTTTGAAGATTCCTGCTAAGAAGCTTCTGAGGCTGTTGTCTTAAAAAAAAAAGAGCTTGGTTGAAGTCCCAGTTTCAAGTATTCTGTTTTCTGCTTCTGGGCAGTCAGCTAATGGGCCAATGCTGACCTAGGAGGCTCTGACTCAGAACCCTGGAAGTATCTTGCACTGCCGTTACCACTATCATCCTCCCTAAGAGAACTGTTTTTGTCTTTTCCAAGTTGGTGGACAAGTCCTACCCATGAGGCTATGTTTGATCACTCCAGGCTTCTACACATATACCCATGGGTGATATTTGCTCATCGGGCCGAGACCTCCTAGACAGCCCAGCTGTGTGAACACATAATGCCAGGCCAGGAACTGGGCCCACCACCTGCTGATGGGAGGAGCCACAGGCAGGCCCGGCCTTGCTCCCACATACTTCTGGGTATCCCATGGACTGTGTTCTCAGAAGCCCCTGTGGTAGAGCACTGGCCCTGCCTTGAGGAGAGGGGCAGGCCTCTCATCCCTCCCCAGCTGAGACAGACTGGCTATAAAACACAAGGTTAGCAGAGAATTAAGTATGACTCACATAGACACAAAACTATACAGTTAAAATATTGATATAGCCAAATTCTCCCTTGAAGTTCTGTATCTTCTTACAGCAACTCTGAATTGGCAAGGTCCCTTCTTACAATCTGCCTTCTCACTCTATTCTGTCCTCATTCATTGCTTTGGGCTGATTGATAAGCCCATTGTTTCTTATCTCCCAAAATCATTAGCAAGGGCTCCTTCAGATGGCCACACTCCAGTGAGCTATAGTCAGGATTATATAATTTACTTTTCAGTCAGACTTTAAGAAAAAGGAAGCATATAACCAAAGGTACTTAATTCTTTCTTTTCTGACAATGGCAGAGCCTCTAGAGGTAGGAGATAGATAGATAGACAGATAGATAGATAGATAGATAGATAGATAGATAGATAGATAGATAGATAGATAGATAGATGATAGATAGAAAGGATAAAAATAAGAGAACAAGCCAGGGCTTCTAGGCAGGGGAGTAAGCTGACACTAAATATTTTAACACAGAAGTTTATTAAGATAACAAATATTTCCTGAAGACCCACCCTGGGTGAGGCTTTGTGCTGACGTTAGAGATCACTGTGGGGGCAAGAATACATTTCTTACGTATTTTATTCATTATTCTTAAAAAAAAATTCATCTAACCATTGAAAAGTCTCAGAAAATATGCAATTTTATTTCTGAAATTTACAGGGTTTTCTTTTTCCTTTGCTAGAGTGTGGGGTCCTCCCAGGGTGTATGGCCCTTCCTGCTTGGTGGAGGCTGGTCAGGTCCAGGGCCTTCTAAGCAGTAAGAGAAGGAGGCTGGGGGGTTGGGTGACAGAGGGAGGCCCTCCACCTCACCACAGGTTCTCCAGTCTAGAGCAGTTGCCCCAGTGCAGTCCCCCACCACCTCCAGATGTGCTGCTTCTGGCTGTGCCTGCAGTGACTGTCCTC